TTTCATTACTTTAATCATACAGCTGTATGGTCCTATTCTCCCACGTTACCAAAAGAAGTTCCCAGCAATGCAATAAATCGACGTTTCTGACATTTATAATCTATCGTATGCAATTAGAGACTATACCCTTAATCCTAGGAAATAGTCTTTTGCTTATTAATGTGATAGGACATGCCTTTCACCAAACCTTATGTTAAAGCGAAAAATAGTTAAATTAGATTACACTCGAAATTAGTAAGGTTTTTGAGCTAGAGCCTGTAAGGGAAATATATATGTTACCTATGAGAATTATCTTGAATGCCCCTATTTGTTACTAATTACTTTGCTACCTTCCAACATATGTTACAAATTGTACTTGATTCTTCACGTGGTGGGACTAAGTTAGGGAAAACAGATGTCCTTTGGTAGACAAAAATTGACATTACCACGACCAAATTCAAAGGCAGCAGAGGGTGGAGTGGGTGACTAAAAAAACTGCTTTTTCTGATGAAGACAGAATTGTTATCTTCAATTTTCTGTGGCTAACTTCGAGTCCCCATCGAGACTTCCCGTCTTCAGAAAAGAATTACTTGATAACAGTTCTACTCATTGGTGGGCATTTATCTCATTTCAGTCTAGTCTAATGTATCCAAGGTCTTAAAATGTGTAATGCACGACAATGTGTTTTGATCAAGCATCATGTATTACAAGAATATGCATGCCTATATGAGGCATATGCATAATTATGCATTTTTTATGTTATTTTAAATATTCTAAACCACCAACTACTTTTTATTCGCACATTTTGAAGTACCTGCTGCTTAAATTAGAATTTGAAAACTCCCGAACAAGCATTTAACAATTACCTAAGTTATAAAATAGGCATCAAAAGATAAATAAAAGTGGAGGCACTTGAGCTCCATGAATGGTGGTTAAACAGGAGGCTTGAAGGACCATTACAACTCTCCATTTTTCATTATAATTGAGAAAACAAGATGCCCAAGACAAACTCCCAAGGACAAGAAATGAAGTTTTCGACGCTAATTAGGCACATGGAAAGAGCATTATTTTTTTTAGATACGAATTCTCAACATGATACCAGCAACTAAATCAAAGATCCAATAATGTATCAAGTTGA